GCACATCTGCCAATGTGGTATACTGCATCCGCTGTACCCGTTGTGGCCTCCTCTACATCGGGGAAACCAAGCGGAGGCTTGGGGACCGCTTTGCAGAACACCTACGCTCGGTTCGCAATAAACAACTGCACCTCCCAGTTGCGAACCATTTCAACTCCCCCTCCCATTCCTCAGACGACATGTCCATCCTGGGCCTCCTGCAGTGCCACAACAATGCCACCCGAAGTTTGCAGGAACAGCAACTCATATTCCGCGTGGGAACCCTGCAGCCCAATGGTATCAATGTGGATTTCACAAGCTTCAAAATCTCCCCTCCCCCTACCGCATCCCAAAACCAGTCCAGCTTGTCCCCGCTTCCCTGACCTGTTCTTCCTCCCACCTATCCCCTCCTCCCACCTCAAGCCTCACCCCCATCTCCTACCTACTAACCTCATCCCGCCCCCTTGACCTGTCCGTCCTCCCTGGACTGACCTATCCCCTCCCTAACTCCCCACCTACACTCACCTTTACTGGCTCCATTCCCGCCTCTTCGAACTGTCTGTTTCCTCTCCACCTATCCTCCCATCTATCCATCTTCTATCCGCCTCCCCCTCTCTCCCTATTTATTTCAGAACCCCCTTCCCCTCCCCCATTTCTGATGAAGGGTCTAGGCCCGAAACGTCAGCCTTTCTGCTCCTATGATGCTGCTTGGCCTGCTGTGTTCATCCCGCTCTGTACCTTGTTGTCTCGGATTCTCCAGCATCTGCAGTTCCTACGAGCTATGAAAAGTTGTGCTTAGAAATTAATTGTTGTAAGTTATTCTGCTTCATCATGTCCTAATATCTTCGTGGTTGTATGTCAAATTTTATTTGACACCACTTAAAACAGTTTACAAGTTGTGGATACTATATAAGTGGCAGCTATAAAATTGACTCTTGAAATAATTCCTTTAGTTTTTAACTATCACAGTTTTTTTGGTTACGTTTGTATCCATGGTGCTATCAGACTGGTAAACTAAACACAAGCAGCCAAATATATAGCCATAATCAAAAGATTCTGGTTACTTCAAAAGATATAAAAAGAAACATGAGTCTACCCATTTCCTAGAGTCAACTTTCATCTTGGTCCCAAATGTAGCTTGCAAGAAAATCTATTATTGATTTTTAAAAAAAATCCTCACTATATCACTCTCATAGCATGTTTGCTTTGAATGTCTTGACTCCCTCCTGAGCAATCTGTTGAATCGTTTCTGATTAGCTTAGTTTCCTAAGGTTGTAGGAAATTACTGTGTTCAAATAACTATCAGGAGGAAGCAATGGCCTAGTGGTGTTATTGCTTGGCTATTGGTCCAGAGACCCAGATAATGTTCTGGGGACCCAGGTTCGAAACTTGCTATGGCAGATGTTGGAATTTGAATTCAGTAAAAATTTGTAGTTAAAAATCAAATGATGACCATGAAACAACTCTCGATTGTTGGAAAAACCCTTTAGGGAAGGTAACTGCCATCCTTATCTGGTTTGCCCTATATGTGAGCCCAGACCCACAGCAACATAGTTGACTCTTAACTGCCCTCTGGGCAACTGGGGTTAAGGGAGTAGGCAATAAATGTTGTTCAATTAACTGCCTACATTTTGTCAATGAAGTTAGAAAAAATGCAGCTGGACAAAATGAACCTAGTTCTTCACTCAACAGAGATTAAATTAATGATTTTTATTCCATTGGAACAATCATCAGAGACGCCTTGCAAGAATGGAAGCTTATTCAAATAGCTAGCAATAACCACTTTTAACCATCTGTTCTGTGATCAGCAATAGATAATCTGGTCATGAACGTAAGTTTTCAATTTTGACAGGCAAAATACTAGAAAATTAACACTGAACAACATAACTGAAGATCACAGTCACACATTGTGATATGTGCATTCAGTATTTATATTAAGGTGATTATTCAGAGGCATACTTCATCTTTTGGTTTATGAAATGCACAGATCTCTGAATAACTTATAACTGTTAACAATAAGTAGAAATGGAAAGCAAGTTTCAATATGCTTTGCTAGCCTGGACTTTTTGGTTATAATGACAGAAAAACTGTTGGTGCTTTCTGTTCTTAGTGATTTTTTTTTTGCCAGTGCACAGGGTATCCTGTTGAGGTCTTTGCAGATAGAAATCTATTTGAAATCACTGATTTAATGTGATCTTCCACTTTTTCATTATTATTTTTGCTTTAAAGAACTCTTGGAAAAAGTCAACCATTGAACAGTTTTTAATGATGTACTAATTCATAATTACTTCCAAACACCCTCTTGAGCCTGAAAATTTGTTTTTGTAGAATGTGAAATAGCTTCATGCCATTCCATTGATTTCTTTTTAAAGTTTGATATTTCCATCTCTAACTTATCCATGTCTATGTCCCTATCTGTATTTCAGTTGTGTTAAAATTATAAAAAGTGACTTATAAAAAAAACTTTGTTATTTCTGTGTTTTCTGTCCTTGAGAATTCTTCAATGTGGGCTGGTTTTGAAAAAAAACAAAGCAAATGCCAGAATGAAATTACACCAAAGAATGAAATTAACACTTGGAAAGGAAAAATCCACACCACTGAGATCAATAGATCTTTGGGGCAGCTGTCGTCGTGAATCAGTGATGCCTGCTTTACTTCATTGCTGACTATAGAATCCAGGCTGTTATTGTATAGTTCAGAGTTTGCTAAGCCTAGATCCAAATGACAAAATAAAAACTGGGTGAGATGATTTATTAAAAAGTGGCTGGCATATGATCATGCATAAATCTAGCTTAATTTAAATGGTTCCTGAGATCACTGTGAAATTGCCCATTTCACTTCCATGTTTAGAATTTGATATTTTTTTTTCCCATTGTCACACAGTGGCTTGGGCAGGGTGCTTTGCTTCATCTCCAAAATATTGTTGAGCTAGAGCTGAATAACGCTTTTATGAAATCAAATCTAAACTGATTAGTTCCCTGGATTTCTGTGTTTAATATGCAATAGTTTCTCTCCTTAGTATGAAATGTACATGATTGAACGAAATGCTGAGAGAACGGCTTCAGCTGGAAGACTTCTTTATGACATGTGAGTAATGCAGTAAACCACTTTTCACACAAGCCTTTAATATTTATGATGTTTATAATATTAATGGATGGAATTAAAAATAGAATATTTTTGGACAACAAGAGAGTGATGACAACTCATAGAGTCATGCAGCATGGAAACAGACCCTTTGGTCCAATCAATCCATGCTGAATATAATCCAAAACTAAACTGCTCCAGACCTTTCGTATTCACATACTTATCTAAGTGTCTTTTAAATGTTATAAGTGTGCCCGCATCCACCACTCCATCTTGGTTAAAAGACCATTTCGAAACTTGACCGTTTTTCTATAGCAGATGTAAAGGTGCCAGGGTGGAGGTCAGGTTATGTATGAATTTTCCATAATAATTCACTAACCCAAGGAAAGATCGAAGCTGTGGTACAGATGTGGGAGCGGGGCACCTTTGATCGCTCTGACTTTATCTTCCAATGGGTGTAACCTGTTCTTGTTGACTCTGTAGCCCAGGTAGGTCACTTGGTGTGTCTGGAACACACATTTCCCCCTTCTAAAGGGTACGCCCGCCTGGGAGAAATGTGTAAAGACAATGTCCAAGTTCTCTAAGTGCTTCCTATAGATCTTCCCAGTTATTAGCACGTCGTCCAGATAAATGGTGACCTGGGGCAGACCTTGTAAAATGTTCTTCAATGTCTGCTGGAAAATGCAGACTGATACCTCAAAAGGCAGTCTCGTATATTGGTACAAACGGTTATGGGGATTAATTGTAACATACTTCTGGGAATCCTCATCTAATTGCAATTGCAGGTGCACATGGCTCATGTCCAGCTTCATGAAGGACACACACGCACACACGCGCACACACACACCAAACCCATCTCCAGTTTCACATATAAATCCTCTATGCGAGTCTTTATCCAGCTGTGAAAAGTGGCTTACGGTTAGTTGGAAATACCCGCAAAGGCAGACGGACCTGTCAGGCTTCACAATCTGTACGACTGGTGCTGCCCATTCCACAAACTGTATTGGCTTCATCATTCCTTCACTTTCCAGCCTCCTGATTTCTGCCTTTACTTTTGCATGTAAGGCAAATGGAAACTTACACAATTTTCTGATTAGATATGTCCACATTGGTAATGAGACGCCGTACTTGTTGTAGCATTATAAATCAAACTATTTTATATGCTATCCTGAATAATTTATCATTTTAAAAAAAAATTTGGTTGATGTATTTCAGCCAAACACAATTGATCTGAATTCACAACTGGAGTTGTTATAGTTTCAAAATGGTGTGCTTTCCAAAACAGTGACTTAGCAGTCTTTGCATTACAAGCATTTCACTTTATTTTGTTTTGAATATCAGGTTTGTAAATTTCCCTGATCAACCAATGGTATGGAGAGAAATAAATGTTATTACAGCAGCACTGCGTAATGATACCCAGGACAAGCAAACACAGTTTTTACGAGGTAAAAGAAAGTTTGTTTTTTGTGTCAAACAAAGGTAAACCAACTTATTGTTACTGAATGGAGTGCCATGAAATGGAATTTGTAAGATGTTGCTAGTGAACAGTGTTGTTTGGAGAGTATTCAGAAGATAGAAAGGTACTAAATGGCAGAAATGAATGAAAGAAAAAATTGGGAGGAGTTACTCCAGGCGACCCTTATATAGTATGGTTCTAACCCTCTGACTAAAGAATTGTTGCTGATGGAAGCCTGAGTGCAAATTGGATGTAAATTGCTTCAAATTGATGCATGACTTGGAATCATGGACAAAGTTTGTTTTTAAAAAAAAATGTATCTGTGGAAAGTTTTTCAAAATACAAACAGCATGTTTATTGCATCATGTTGTATCCTACAATACAAACAAGACATGAGTTTCTGAATAATTTACCACCTTGAATGACCTATTTTCCCATGGGTCACAAATTGAAAATTTTCCAGAAAGTGTCATATCTCATTTCTAAATTGTCAAAGTTCTCACAGTTTAGGAGAAAAATACTAACCTCTTTGTGCAAGTTGATCATCAGTAAAAGACAGTCAACAATCTTAGAGTTTAGCTAACTGTAGTTTATGTAGTTATTTGATCCTTTTGACTGGACTTGCAATTCAACATGAGTCCTCTAGAACATTTTTGCATAGTGCTGCCCAGTGTTTTTGACATAAATATTTATTTGTGTCCATTGTTATGAATTGTATGTTTAATATTCATAGGGTACTTATAATGTAAACAGGAGATGTTGTGATTGAAGTTTATAAAACACAAGTTAACCCACAGCTAGAGTTCCTTTATAGTTCTGGTCACTGCATTACAGGAAGACTGTGATTGCCCTGGAAATGATATATAAGACCATAAGACATAGGTGCAGAATTAGTCCATTCAACTCATCGAGTGTGGTCCACCATTCAATTATAGCTAATATGTTTCTCAACCCTGTTCTCCTCCCTTCTCCCTGTAATCCTTGGTCAAGAACCAATCAAGAACTATCTATAATAAAAACCGTAAGAACTGCGGATGCTGTAAATCAGGAACAAAAACAGAACTTGCTGGAAGGTCAGCAGGCAGCATTTGTGAATTGTTCTGAGGAAGGGTCACCAGACCCGAAATGTTAACTCTGTTTTTTTGTGCACAGATATTGCCAGATCTGCTGAGCTTCCAGCAACTTCTGTTTTTGTTCAAGAACTATCTATCTCTGTCTTAAATCCTCTGAATGACTTGGCTTTCGCAGCCCTTTGAGGCAATACATTCCACAGATTCATCATCCTCTGGCTGAAGATATTCCTCCTCATTTCGGTTCTAAAGGGTCTTCCCTTCACTCTGAGTCTGTGCCCTCAAGTCCTAGTCTGTCCTACTAATGGAAACATCTATAGGAGATTGTTGAAAATGTTATCAGGGTTGGAAAACTTTAACAATCAATAAAGACTGGAGAAGCTGGTGTGGTTTTCTTTGAGTACAGGAGGCTGAAGATTCATTGAGGTGTAGAAAATTATGAACAGCCTTGATAGAGTAGATAAAAAGGACTCATTTCCATTAGCAGTGAGATCAGTAACCAGGGAGCATTGATATACGATAATCGATAGAAAGGTTAGAAGGTAGTTCAGTAATGTTTCATGCAGAAGATGGTAGGGTCTGGAACTCATAACCTGAAAGAATGATAGATGCAGAAAATTTTACCATTTTATAAGAAAACACTTGGATGTACAGTTTCACTGCTGTAAACTACAGGCCTGTGGACTAAGATCTGGAATGTGCACTGGGGTTTATTGATGTTTTCTGTGTGCCATAAACTTGCCCATGATTCTAGTTTGAGCACTCTCTGCATATGTACAAGTGGCACTGTGTTTTGAATTTTCTGTAAATTCATTGATGTTCCTGTTCATACGGGCAAAGAAACAAAAATAATTTTGTGCAAGTATCTGTAACATGACAGTTATGCAGAAGGCATTGTTGACTGCAAAGGATGATTATTTAGACTTTATGCAAATAAATGAGATAGTCGTTTGCATTTGACAAACTAAGTAGTTCAGTGGTATTTATGTGGATATGAACTGCCACAATCCTGCTTGTCTGCTGCTATTAGGTAGTGCAGTGGCGTTCTCAGTTTTGTATCTGATTCCTGTATGTGTTTTGAGACTCCGCAGAGTAAGGAAATTGTGTGCTGTAGCACCATCTGCTGGTTTTGACATGATTCTGGGAAAGTTAACTAACACATTCAGTAACTTTTGTAATACAAACAATTTATTTGAAATATTCTTATGCTAAAATATTGAACGATCCAGTCCTTTCAATTAAGTTAAGTAACACAAGGAAATGGGAGCTTAATGCTTTAAAGGAACCGTTAGATATTTTGGAATAAGGAAATTTGAATTAAGAAAAATAACCGTCAGTTTTGTTATAGATTCCGAATAATTTAATACCAGTCCATATATGCCAGAAAGTAAGTAAAGCAATAGTTAACATCAGTTATTCTCGCTTCTTCCAGAGGATGATGCTAGAGCTGTCTTTGTCTAAAAAGAAATAAGTCCCTAAATTGTCAAAATAAGTGTTAGGGTAATGGTGACAAAACAGAAATTGCTGGGAAAACTCAGCAGGTCTGGCAGCATATGTGGAAAGCAGAGTTAATGTTTCGGTCCAGTAATCCTCCTTCAGGACAGTTCTGCTTTGCTCTCCGCAGATGCTCCCAGACCTGCTGAGTTTTCCTAGCAGTTTCTATTTTTGCTTCTGATTTCTAGTATCTGTAGTTCCTTTTGATTAGGGTAATGGTGGGCACCATATTTAAGTGTCACAGTAATTCAACAGAGAACAGGTGGTGATTAAATGCAAAGATCCATAAGTCGCCATTAGAGATGTGCTCCTTGTCATTTAACTTAGTGAAAATATTATGTTGTTGAATATCTATGAAACAGATTGAGCACCATGAAACCCTGTAGTTGCTTGGTGTATGCAAAGTAAAGTCACCACAGAAAGCTTTGTCAAATTAAGTACCTGTGTCACAACATGATAATCTTAGTTATTGCCACCCTCTCCGACTGAAGTATTTGAAGCTTAGAGTTTCATTCATAGAATCACAGAATGGTTACAACACAGATGGCAGCCATTCAGTTCGTGGTGACTCTGAAGGAGCAATTCACCAAGTGCCACTCCTCATCTTCTCCCAGTAGCCCTAATATTTTTCCTTTTCAGATGATCAGTTCCTTCTTGAATGCCTCAAATAAATCTTTCTGCACTTTGATCCTTACCACTAGCTGTGTATTTTAAAAAAAAGTTCTCTCATGTTATCATTGCTTCGTTTGCCTATTACTTTAATTCTGTTCCCTCTGATTCTCAATTTTTTAACAATGGGAACAATTTCTTTCTCCCTATTCTGTCTTGACCCCTCACGATTTTGTATATCTCCATCAAATCTCTTCGTTCAGTCCCCCTTCTTTGTGGGGAATAATTTAAGTTTATTATGCCTGGAACCATTCTTGTGATCTTTCCTTTATGATTTCAAACACCTCGACATCCTTCCTAAAGTATGGGTCCGTTACAGTGCTTCTTAGATTTTTGATTGACATTGGAGTTGAGGGTTAAGGGGAACAAGCAAGAAAATAGATTTAAGGCTACAATCAGCACAAACGTGAGCTTTCTGATGGTTCATCAGGCCTGATGGGTCAAATGGCCTACTGCTTCTACTTATGAGAATGGTAGGTGATGTTGCAGTTAAGACCAGACCAGCGCTTTATGTAGGTTTAATATAACTTAGTTGTGATTGCAATCTGTGTCCCTATTGATAAAGCAGTGAAATTCATCTCCCCCCTTATTCTAAATCTCTGCATGATCAATGTCCTGTTTAACATTTGACGTTTTGGTATTAAGTAATGGCACCATCTGTGAACACGGTGGGAAGTGGGGAGGTGGAGCTTGTCTCTGAGCTGTGTGAAAATGGTGATGTTTTATGATTTTATGAAGTAATATTATGCACAATGACTGAAAAATAGTGAAAAAGTTGCATTCACATGAACACACTGCTATCTGTGACGGAATGTTTGTTCTTGCTTCTTTTGGGGAATGCTGTAATCTCTGAACCTGTTTCAATAAAAATAACGAAAAGGCATAACAGTTCTTCCAATTAATTGTAGACTGTGCCACAGAAAATTGATTATTAATTAGGTCATGGCAGATTTGCACCTTAACTCCACTTATCTGCCTTTACTCCATAACATTTGATGGCCTTACCTAACAATTTATTTCTACTTTCAAAACTCCAGCTGTATTAATATCTACATGCTTAGGGGTGGGAGTTCAGATTTCCACTACCCATTGCATGATCTTTGTACTAAAATGTTATTTTCTCATAAAAGGAAAGAATTTGCTCTTCCATTGTACAGAACTAGATTATTACTTAGAGTCAAAAGAAATTTTATATGGCTTGAATGGTGTTTAGATTTGAAACTAACATTGAGACGCCCTAAGATAATTGTCCTATTTTAAATAAGGTGGATTGAAATATAACATAAATTCCCAAGCTGGCTTCTCTATGTTACAGATTATCCACATTTCTAGTGCCATGTGCTCTTTGAATCATAAGGATAACATTTTTTGATTATGAATTATTGACAATATGTAAAGTTTATGAAGTATTAGCCTAACAGATTCTGTCTGCGTGAGCCTAGTGTGAATCATTTGAGATACTGAAGTACAAATAATGTAATGGACATGAGATGTGAAATTCTGTTAAATTACTTCGCAGGTTTGTTTGAGACCCTTCCAGGTCGAATACAATGTGAAATGCTTCTTAAAGCCACAGAGCAATGCTTCAACACGCTGGAGAGAGCAGAAATGTTGTTGCTACTCTTGAGACGATTCCCAGAATCTGTGGTACAGCATGGAGTATGTATATTCATGTAATACTGATCTAATGTATCCTAGTGTTGTTAACAAGCCATTATTTCAGCAATTGCTATGGGTGTGTTCTAAGAATGCAGAGATGGTTTGCATTATCAACTGTAAACAGTCCTGTTACAGCCAGCCTTTTGGGATGTAATCTAGGTTACACCATGTTAGGTGTCCATCAGCCAACAGACTGGATAGTACTCTAAATATTGATCAAGAAGTGCACCATTGTACTCTGCTCTGCGCAAGAATTGACAAAATGCATTGAACTGAGGTATGAATTCATGTGGTTAATATATTGTTATTATAATTTTTGAGTAAAATCCTTATCCCGTCTAACTGTGGAATTATGCTGAGATTTTTTTAAAAATCACTCAAAGCAAAAAGTCCAAATACGAAAATAAGTGGATGTTTGTAAACATAAGCATTCAAATGTCTGGGTGGTTCCTGTACTTAGTTTGGTTTTGGGCTGCACCCATTAATTCATATAGCTTTTATAATTATGTTAAAATCTTGTGACTTGTGTGCCTTTTTTATACATGTGAAACTTTCTTCTATGTAATGAAATTTAAGACAGTTCTCTGTGTTAACATAGTAACAAAAGCCCATATTGACATTTGACTGCCATGTTATAATTGCAGGCATTCCCACATTAGGTAGCATTACCTTTTTGTCTTCTCACATATCTTCTGCCCTCAAAATTTCAGCCTCTGCCCTACTTACAATGGAGAAGTGATATATCTTGGTAAAAAGAAACAGCAATAATCATGCTCAAATTGGAAGTAGGATTGATTCTGTGGAAGAGCAGATGAATTTGAGGTGCACGTTGCAAGACTATAACGGTAGCACATAACGTTGATAAGACTGCAGAAAAGATAAACAAATTCTTGGTTTGCCACATAACTAAGAAAGCCAAGAAGTAATGATAAGCCTATATGAAAATTAATAAAATCTTAATTTGAGTATCATGACAAATGTAAACCTTCACAGAGCAAGAATATAGAGATATTAGAGGGGGGTGCAGTATAATATGTTTGGATACTCACTTATCAGCTTTGTTGAGCGAGGATGTTGATTGGACTTATTTGATACATCAGTGATTTCGGGGATCCCAGAATGGATAGGATTTGTGCTGTTCTCCTTAGGTTTTCTCTCATGGGTGAAAGAAGAACAGAAGTTTATGGTCTAAGATTTATTTCTCGGTGTGCAGGCATGGAGGAGAATTTAATTGGATTCATATACAGGAATGTAGTTCACCAAAGAGAGGTATTGCTACTGATGGTTTATTTTCAGTTTCCTCTCTGTGCTCAATTTTCAAGTTTACATTGCTATTGATCACTGCTAATTTATTTACAAAATTAATTGGTTTACTCTGACAATGTGTAGTTACTTTGGCAATTTTCAGTTTGGTTTTAAAGTATAATGGCTGCTAAACCCAGCATAGCTAGTTTAACTGTACTTGTCACCCCAACTTCATGTTCCTAGGCAGTCTCAATTACAGCTTTTTTTCAGCAAAACACTTCAGTAGCTTGCTGCTTTAATTTGGAGCTGTCATGTAACATTATGTTGTGCTCCATTTTTGTTAATTGGCCATTATGTTCATATCTATAATTATGGTATCTTTTAAAATCTTGCTGTTTGTAATATACTGTGGACTTCACCAGTTGTCTAAATTCCTTCTGTGTACATTTTTTTCACTGCTACTTTTTATATATATCTTATGCCTCCAGCTCTAAAAATGTTGGTGTATCTTGCTCCTCTTTTGCAGTTTAAAAATAGAGCAATGGAGAGACAGAAGGTGACTTTTCATTGTTGAAAGTGACTAGACATTGGTATCAATGTCAGGGTTAGTCCATATATAGAGCTTAAACAATTATTATATATGATTAATGGGAAAAGAGCATTGTCACTATAGTTGTGAGTGGATACTGGGGAGGGAATTGACAACATGGTGGGGAGAAGTTGCACTGAAAGATGTAGATGTAGGAGATGTTAAGGGAATCAATTGCAAAATGTACCTTACCAGCCCTCAGCGTCTCTTTTCCATGCTACACCATCCCTTCAAATGGATTGAAGAAAAGGTGCCAGTGAACGAAGGAAAAAGTATGAGAAGAACAATATTGACATGGTTAGTATAGAGAGAGACATTGAAATAGAGCAGGACATGAAGAAATTGATTTTGACTTGTGGACCAGCTGACGGAGCACATTGGTTGATCTATTATTTCTATCAATAAGACACCCTTGCTTCTGGCCTTGGCCAAGCTTAGATTTCACAGGCAAGCTATTGAGTTCCATCCAATGCCCTGTGCATCTTGTTGAAGTGAGGTCACAAGACCAGGCTGAGCAATCATTGAAAATTGCGGGGTCAGCAAGCACGCCTGTGCCTTTATGGCTGAAAAAAAAATTCAACAATTAATTGTTGCTGGACTACTTCATTTCCACAGTTCATGGAACTGGTCAAAGTCTGCATGACGTAGGCCTTCGCCTAGTTCTGACTAAATTGATAATTGTATTCATAGCACTTCAGTTTCATATTAAAAATAGCCTTCTTAATTTTTTTCTTTTATGCTCAGAAATGCTCTTACACACCACTGAATATTTGTTTTTTCCTTCCCAATCACCAAATCACTTGTGGTTAGCCTTCTACATTATAAAGTGCCTGTAATGTGAAGCAGGTGGATCCAAAAAATCAAGCAAATGCTACAGATAATAGGATTTTTCTGTTTTGAAAGCCGTCAATAAGAGAGGGAATATATATTGAAGTGTATAAGTGAAATAGAAAACGCTGATCTGGCACAGTTTTTATGCTAAACTGTGACCTCAAGGCAAAGGAAGGCAGGTTTAGGACTCGTATCAGAAAGCATTTGTCTTTGAGATTGACTTGTGGAAAAGTTTCTGTGAGGCACGGTGAAATCATGGGCCAAGGAGTGGCAGATGGAGTTCAAATTAGATAATGTGAGGTGCTGCATTTTGGAAAGGCAAATCAGGTAGGACTTATACACTTAATGGTAAGGTCCTGGCGAGTGTTGCTGGACGAAGAGACCTTGAAGTGCAGTTTATAGTTTCTTGAAAGTGGCGTCTCCGGTAGACAGGATAGTGAAGCAGGCATTTGATATGCTTGCCTTTTTGGTCAGTGCATTGAGTATAGGAGTTTGGAGGTCATGTTGCTGCTGTACAGGACTTTGCTTAGGCCACTATTGAAATACTGCGTGCATTTCTGGTCTCCCTGCTATAGGAAGGATATTGTGAAACTTGAAAGGGTTTAGAAAAGATTTACAAGGATGTTGCCAGGGTTGGAAGGTTTGAGCTGTTGGGAGAGGCTGAATAGACTGAGGTTGTTTTCCCAACAGAGCGTGAGGGGCGACCTTATGGAGGTTTATAAAATCACGAGGGTCGTAGATAGGGTGAATAGACCAGGCCTTTTCCCCAGGCTAGAGGAGTCCAAAACTAGAGGGAATAGGTTTAAAGTGAGAGCGGTAAGATTTAAAAGGGACCTAATCGGCAACATTTTCACGCAGAGGGTGGTGTGTGTATGCAATGAACTGCCAGAGGAAATGGTGGAGGCTGGTACAATTACAACACTTAAAAAGCATCTGGATGGGTATACGAATAGGAAGGGTTTAGAGGGATATGCTGGCAAACTGGACTAGATTATTTTAGGATATCTGGTTGGTATGGACGAGGTGGACTGAAGAGTCTGTTTCCATGCTTTACAGTTCTATGACTCTGAGATGGTTAGATATCGTGATAGGGAAGGGGTCACGGGCTTTTATAAAAAGATGAACTAGATGGGGAAAATGGCATTCCTCATCCGTATTGATAATTGTGCAGCTTACTGTGTGACCTATCCTGCATATATGATAAGTTTTAAAAAATGCAATGCGTGCTAAACCTTTAACAATAGAGAGGTGGTTTGAAAATTTGGAAGAAGTTTTTTTGGATATGAATGAGTTGCTAATGATACATATTTTGTGTTGTTTGTTTTGCTTCTTATTTTAGGTCAGCCTTGGTGAAACACTATTGGAAGCAGAAAACCTTGATGATCAAGACTCTCCAGTCAACTGTTTTAGGAAGTTATTTGGTAAGAAAGTTAAAAAAATATCAATATGAATATCTGAATCATAACAATGCTTTGGTTGCTTTTGAGTTGGAACTTGCTGATGGCTTCTTGGTATGTACACCATGTATGGTTCTGAATTGTGTAGAATAAGAAAATCTCAATTCTTATCCCTGTCTTATACTGAGTTAGTCAATAACAACCAGAGCAGTGCTGCCATCAAGTCTAGTGCTCCTGTGCTGAGGAGGCGAATAACAAGTTGGAGTCCTTTTTACCATGGCCACCTACAATACAGTGTGCGTGTGCGGAGTTTGATAAGCATTACACCTGAGCCTGACCAATGTACAGGTTGCTGATGGTTGCTTCTGTGTCATGAGGCATGTTTAGTTGATGGAGATGCCAGGTTCTGTAGTCCAGTCCATTTGAAAATCTAGTGAGATTCCTTTCATCAATTTCCAATTCATGTGATGTTGTAATAGCATGTCATAATCCAAAAATTTGGATCATCAGAAGTCCTGGGATGTCAAAAAGTATTCTTTCTTGATTTTTTTTTTCTCCTTTAACATAAAAAGGCATGGATTTTTTCCCTTTGCTGAATCTAGACTTTTCTTTGAAGGTGGGTCAGTATATGATTCAGTTGTTGGTCATTAATGTCATATCACACATGCAATATTTTCTTGTAATGCAAATGTTTCTTTAACACAATGTACCTTTTGTATCTACAGTATGTGATGTCCTTCCTCTAATTATTAATAACCCTGATGTGAGATTACCTGCCAATCTGTTATATCAGTATCTCCACAAGGCAGCAGAGTTTTATATTGGTTACATCACCAGATCTCCTTCATTGGAAGGCCAGCATCAAGGTACTCTCCTAAGAGTATTGCATAGTAACTGTGGACCAGTCGTAAGAGAAAGAATTGCTGTTCGAAAGTAATTTGATAGTTGGTGTAGCTTCTAAATGATGAATTGCATTAGCTCATGTAATTAGAATTTTAAAGCACCTCCAATACAGTTTTGTTTTTGGAAAGTTAGACTTCAATTTTGCTTTCCTTCACTTAAGCCTCCTTAATCCAAATCTTTCTCGTCATAAAAGATGACCTATCAAGGCCTTTGCCTTAATCCATACTTGATAGTATTGCAGAAGTAACCAAGAGCAACTACTAGTGAGAATTACTACTCTGGTCTGAAGTCCACCAGAAGAAAGGGAAGGGTTTCTGTCTGCTTCATGACTAACCATGGTGACATTTCTCTCGTTTGTGAATGTTTGTTTTTAAAACACACAGAAACAAAAATTACTGGAGAAATTCAGCCATTCTGACAGCATCTGTGGAGAGAAAACAGTTAATGTTTTGAGTCCAATGACCTTTCGTCAGAATGTTTTTGGTGGACTGCAGCACTTGCATAGGTTAGAAAGATTGGCAACCAGGAGAAGTACAAGTGGTTTGATGGCTTAGGGAAATTGACAGCGGTTTATCCATTGAACTGTCTTCAACGATCTATCCATTGACCTGACTTGTCACATTGCCCACATCAAGTTAGTAGCATCTTCTAGTGGACACAGAAACACTTGAGTTCTGTTATATACAGTCAATATTTTTATTCAGCAACTCTAAGGTATTAATGAGGTTTATTTAACATATATAATATTGCTTTAATATCTCCTTATCAAAGTATCCTACCCATACTTTGGTGTATGCTGGATGATTGTTATGAGAGAAGTGTGGGGGACTTGGAAGTATGCCTCTATATTTTTGCTCTGCTTTTTCCAGAAGACCAACATAATTTGACAGGAAATTTTACCATTCCTGTTAGTTTTCACTGTCACTTTTGGGAAGTACTTGATTTATTCTATAGCTAATCGAAAGTGATTCTTGATTCAGAAGTCCTTTCTTATTTTAAACATTGTTGCCTTCTAGGATAGTTACTACGGACCTGAATTGTGGAGTTTAATCTCCTCCTTTAATCTATTGTCATATTTCAACTGGTGCTGCATTTTATGAGTAACTAAATGGTACCTGTAATGCTGGAAAATTATTGATTACTGCCATAGTATTTGGAGGCATATGGAGTCAAGAAAAGAATACTTTAATCATACATTAGAACAATTGATTTACAGTAAGGCATGGTTTTGATCAGATTTGGCAAGTAGGACCGTACATAGTCAATATAGAATTTAAAATTAATTCTAATATTTTGCCTAGTAAATTACCCTGTGAGAAATATTTTGCGCAAATAATTTGTGTAATATGAATCAACTCCTTGTATATAGTTTGAGTGGAGAGATTTTCAGAAATAGGCTAAGGAAATTAAAAAGTCTATCCAAAGTGAATATACATGATGCATTTTCCCTGTATATGCTTTATTTTAGTGTTTTTAAGTAGTTAACACTTCTATATTCTGCTAGGTTCCCAAGACACAGCTGATATAAAATCACCGACCAAACGAAGTACTCAGAAATATATCATAGAAGGTCTGACTGAGAAATCATCATTGATAATGGAACCATGGGACAGATTGTTTGAAATTATGTCTGTTGTGGCAATGAGGTGTGAGTGGCAGATGGACAAAGCAAACAGGTTAGAATTCTAATTGAGCAAAGCCCCCTACTACTTACTTGGCTAAGTATTGTAGAAAAATATGCTAAACTACACATCTTTTAATATAACAATCAGTACATAGTTTACATTTTATTTGTGGGATTGGTGAGTGTTTTAAATAATGTACTGGTTATTACAGTTTATTGATTTGTAAAAACTTCACAAATCAGAAGTCAAATTTGATCTGTTAAGGTGAGATCTTACACAAAACAAGAAGGTATGATTCAAATGATAATACTTTCAATCTCCACTTAAATGCTATTACGTTTGTAACTTAGAGATAGTAGGAACTGCAGATGCTACAGAATCCGAGACAACAAGGTGCAGAGCTGGATGAACACAGCAGGCTAAGCAGCATCATAGGAGCAGAAAGGCTGACGTTTCGGGCCTAGACCCTTCTGTGTTCATCCAGCTCTGCACATTTGTAACTTAGGTTTGCTTTTTATTGCTGATAATGATGGTGTCCCTGAACAGTCATGTCGAGACATTTCACAGTTTTGGCTAATGCCAAGAGTCACTGGCATCATCTGCACGTGAATAGGCAGCAGCAGTCACTTTCTGGGGTTAGCTTCAATTTTTTGTGCCTTACTTCCTCCAATTAATGTAGAACTGACAAAATAGCTTTAGAAAATAATGAATAAATTACTATGTCAGTTTTGCTATGTTTACAGAAATCTTTCAGAATCAACAGACTATTAGCTACATCATCGTTGTTAGCTGAATATCAAGCTGCCTAGCTTTATAGAAATTGAATACCCTGAATATGTTATTGAAATTACCTGAGTTAATCAAGATAAAAATCTGATTTCTTACTACTGTGGAGTATTGTTGAAAGTCTCTAAGCTACAAAGAAAAATTGTTTATTTGACATTTTGACGTTTATGCATTTATCGCTTCTCTGAACTTACTCCTTTTGTCCCTTAAGTTGCTGGTATTTTAGTCTAGACAGGGAAGTAAAGAGCCCATTATCTTTGTGAAAATGCAGTTTTAATTCGAGCACAATAAGAATTGAAAGGAGAATAAGCATAATTTCTCATTGTGCTGAAATCAAGACTCGCTGCATGTTTTCAAAACTATTGAATGCTTTATCTTCCTTCAGTCTTTACTTCTTGATGATCTAAGAACCTAGCTTTAACTACTCTTTATTTTCTGTTTTTCTCATGATATATTAAACATTGATACTTTACAATTCCTTTGCTTCCTCAATTTAAGAAAAAGTTTTAGTTGCGTTGAAGCACTGATTCCTCCTCAATTGACTTTGCTACCTATAAATATGAACATTAAAAGTGAATGACAGAAAATATTGATTCAGCATGTGCATTGTACTCTTATTGAACTGTATTGTTCTTTCTGTGCTAACTGTTCAAAGTATGTACGTAGAACACAAACATTTCTTAAACTGATTGCACATCAAATGTTGCAGCTAGAAGTTCATTGTACTATTGAGTGATTTTTTTTGTGCAAGTTTTTCCTTTCACTAATCCTTGAGTTCTAAATTTTCTTTCAAATTAATCTTTCAGGAACTGTGGTGAAATTCTGCATAGGATGAAAGATTTATGCAGGTATATAAACAACTTTGATGATGAAGGTCACAGGAAGTATAAGCATCAAGTTGTTTATTCTACACTGCTGATTTTCTTCAAGAATGCATTCCAATACGTCAGCAGTATCCAGCCATCTCTATTTCAAGGTTTGTTAAAGGATTCCTATGAAAACATTATCCAAAATTGGAGCTCTTGTGTCTGTTGGAGTTTTCAAATTTTATAACGAAGTTATTTGTGGTATAGGTGTATGAGAGCTATTGCATACTCATGTTTTGTTGGCAGTTTGTGGTTATGTTAAAATTGCGTGACATAAAACAGAAGATCGTTGCATCTTTCTTGACCAGATGCCACTATGTTGACCTATTGCAGAAGTGACTCTTGTATCGAATTTCAATTAATGACTTTCAATCATTGTCTGCATAAAATTCTTAAAGTATGGAAAAATGTCATCATGAACACTTGTAATCATACATGAAGAAAATAAACTTGCATAAGTTATTTTAGGCAATACAACTTATTTTTAGTTTAGGATTGTTGAATTTTAACAGATTCAAGCTTTAGACAAGCTTTAGCTTTAAGCAAATTAGCTTAAATGATTGCAGTGGAAGAACTGACTCTTTAAGAAAACCAGATATACAAAACTAAGTCCTAAGCTCTTTGATCCTGAATCTTGTGGGGCTGGGAGGGCATACAGAGTGTATCAGGTAAATGCATGATGGGACAGCATGTGTATGGTTCTAATTGATCTCCAAACTCCTCCTCCCATTCACTGCTGCAGTCTGCTTAATAAAGGTGCTCCCACAGTGCTGCTCGGGGAGTTTCAGGAGTTGGATCTAATGGCAGTGAAGAAATTGTGATATCTTTCTGAGGTAGAATGTGATGTGACTTGGAAGGGAACTTGCAGGTTGTAGAGATAACAAGGTGTAGAGCTGGATGAACACAGCAGGCCGAGCAGGAAAGCTGACGTTTCAGGTCGAGACCCTTCTTCAGAATTCGGCAGTTCCTACTATCTCTTGCAGGTTGTAGGGTCCCATTTGCATGTTGCCCTTTTCCTTCTAGTTGATAGAGAAACTTTGGTAACTTTGCAGAGCACCAAGTAGACGTAGATATGTTTTGTTGATATTGATTCTATTTTGTGGATTTTGATTTAACAGCTACAATAATTTTCTTTTTAGCATCCAGTCCTTCTAGCAACCAAATTCCCCTTATTTTGTTGGATGATTTGTCAAATATCTATGGTGATGTGGATATCGATAGAAGTAAACATATTCATAAAAGGCGGAAACTTGGAGAAGGGAGGGAGAAAACACTGGTGAGTAACGTACATCCCCTGGATTTTTCATTATTTTTGCAAAGTTATTGTTGTCTTAGCTGTAAAAAACCAGATGTCCATACAATTTTGTAATATTGTTCTTGGTGATTATCTGCAGTTATGGATCAGCTTCCTCATGTTTCCTAATGACACCCGATAGTTCCTCTCTTAACCTTTCCTAAATCATCCAATGCCTGTAAGTTATTGAACTGTTTAACTGATATCCAATCTTAGATGAGTTACAACGTTCTCCAGTTAAACAGTCAGGTAACTGAAGCTATTGCTATTGTCATTTGCTGTAAACTGTGCACCTGCATCACCAATTCCTTCATTTTTCTCCCTCCATTGCCTTGGGCTAAGCCTTGTTGTTCGCATTTTCAAAGTCCTATTTGACTAACCTGTCATTGGCAATCACTTGCTAACAACAATATTTGTCTACCTAGGAAACTCCATGTCACTGGTCATGGGTTCTTTGACTCCTAGCATGGCTTATGAGCCTGATCCTAGAGCCACATCTCCAACCGTGCATTTGACAGGTATATCTGGGAGGTGGAATTGGTCCTTTTGCCTTGAGATCTCTGCCATTTCTTTTTCTGTCAGGTATTCTCAAAGAATTGTCCCTTCATACAGGAGTTTCCTCCAAGTCTGTTCTTTTGAACAAGGGTCTCCCATGTGTTGAGAACTGTGTTGCATTTCTTTAGGGAAGCTTTCAGGGTGTCTTTGAAACGCTTCCTTTGTCCTCCTGTAGTTCAAGTGTCTTCCTTGAGCTTGGTGAAAAAGATTTCTTTGGTAGTCATAACTAAAGCATCATAAAACTTGTGGCTGGCTCAGCGGAGTTGGGATCAGATGATCATGGCCTCGATGCTAGTACTGTTAGCTGCTTTAAGGATGCTGATGTTAGTATGCATATCCACCCAGCTGGAGTGGAGAATCCATCTTAAACAATACTGATAGTACTTCTCAGGTCTAGAGGTAGTGCCTATATGCAGTCCAATTTTCGGAGTGATATAGATAAGTTAGAAGGATGAATGCCTAATGCACAAGGACCTTGGTATCAGCACAGATGTCACAATTGTTGAAGACTGCCATCAGATGCCTAAGGATAACAGTGATTGCAGATTGGACGCAAGGTTGAATCTCTGCATCGATGTCAGCCTTAGATAACAGGGAGCTTCCAAGTAGGGGAGATGTTCTACGTTTGAGAGGATTTCTCCAATGACTTTAATGACTCCAATGACCATCATTTTCAAAAGAGAAGTGGAATCATGGAACTACTGATGAATCTCTTTACTCTACATTGGCCTGGGATGGTTTGGTAAAGGATTTGCACCTTCTTGAGGTTGAGGCTGAGACCAATTTTTCAGTATGCTTCTGCGAAGGCATTACGTGAGGCTTGACGATTATCTTCTGAGAGAGCAGAGATGGCATTGTTATGGCAAACTGAAATTCCACAGGCGAGGTCAGTGTTATTTTCTTGGATTTCAACTGGTCGATGTTGAAAATTTTTCTGTTCGTCCTGTAGACAGTGTCCACACCACTGGGAAGCTTGTTCTTAACCAATGGTGGCAGTAAGATGGAGAAAAGAGTAGAGGTAATGACATGTCCCTGTTTGACCCCTGTCTTAACCTCAAAGGATTTTGCCATATAATCATTGGTGAGAACTGTCACCAACATCTTGTGGTAGAAATGGAGGATGTTGATGAATTTCACTAGACAGCCGGCCGTTTACAAGATCTTTAATAGCACTTCCTGTTTGAATCAAAATACTTGGTCAGGTGCTTGAAGGCTATGTAGAGTAATTTGTGTTTCTCCTGGCGTTTCTGTTGGAGTTGCTGAGAAGTGAAAATCATGTCCATAGGACAAGAAAATGTCCCTGCCGATCCTATGGACATGATTTTGGTTGGAAGCCACACTAGCGTTTGGGGAGGATTTCCTCTGAGACTGGAAGAAAGCATCCAGTTGTGTTTGGATGATGATCTTCATGCCAATGTAGAGTAAGGAGATTCATGAGTAGTTCCATGATTCCACTTCTCTTTTGAAAATGATGACAATAGCAGCATTCACTGAGATCGGCAGGGACATTTTCTTGTCTCCCAGATTTTAATGAATGGTTGATGGAGATGGCAGGTAAGCTCTGCTTCTCCAAGTGTGTGCCTCCAAATTTGCTCCACTTCTCATTTGAGTGCCTTCCTTGAGCTGCGCATCTAATCTTTCTGGCAACAAAGTTCCTCTTATTTTGTTGGACAATTTGTCAAATATCTACGGTGATGGAAACATAGAGAAGGAAAGGAGAAAACACTGGTGAATAACCTAGATCTCCTGGATTTTGGAAAATTGTTCTCTTAGGTGTAAAGAGCCAGGTCTCCATATCGTTTTGTAATATTGTTATATATTGCTTGTTTTTATTATGTTTATTTTTATTAACCTCATACCTAAAATTCTTAGTAGTGTGTTCATTTTTCATTGCTTGACCCCACCTGATATCGAACTTTCTCCAACTTACCTTTCTCCCCTCTAATTCTCCGTTTAGAAACCTCGTCATTCAAGGATTCTATCCTTTTGGTTGTCACCTCTTCTCACTCAATGTAGATTCTGTATCTGTATGCTTACGTTTTCTCTTTTTCTGAAAAGACTTTGTACTACAGCAAATTTATGTGAATTAAAGTCGGTTTTGGCAGTGGTTGAAGGCATTTCTAATGAGGGATTTTCCAATAGTAGATAGAAGAATTTACCCGATTTCATTTGATTAATTTGTTACCAACTGAACCACAGAGGGAAGTTTTTTACTTTTTCTGTGAGAAAGAAATATCCTAGTGCACATACTGAAGGTCCATTCTAACATGAAACATCGAGTAATGTAAACTGAAGTGTCATCGTATACCCCTTCCCTTTCTTGCTTGTCAAATTAACAACATTTTCCAATTGTGCCTTCCATTTTCTATCAACATATTCAATCTATTTCAAATGACCAAAACATTTGAGCTCTTTCTGTCAATTTCAGACTGTCTATCTCTCACCAAACCAATTTCAACCTGTTGTAAGCAACTTGCCAGATATAATAGACTGGCTTCTTGGCACACCTCTCATGGCTTCCTGAATCCAGGGTCACACATGGTTGATTTATGTTGCTGTGATCTCACAATGGAAGGGGGACATTTAGGCAGTGAGAGATCTAGTTGCTGCTAAATTATCCAATTATGCAACGTTGAGATCCAGAAGCTTACAGGAAACTGTTCTTTCCAGACACAACATTTGGTTAATGTAATTATATTCTAGTGTTTTAACTGGCTTCACAAATCAGTGGTTTTGTAAACATAGTCAGGAAATTGAATCCAGACTCTTGCGTAAATAATGATAAAACTATCCTTGGACCAGCCAGTCTTCCAAGTAATACTAAAGACGTTAATGCCCTTTCTTTCTAAATCTTGATGGATAAATGCTTTAAGTATATTTTCAGAATTGTGGAATGTATCAGTTGAGGGTTATGCTGTAGCAACATACTTTACAATTTTACTTCAGAGTGCAGCTTGATTTCAATCATTCAATTCTCTTCACTACAAAAAAATACTGTAGAAACTATAGAAAAGAATACCAAAAGAGGATGATTTATGATTCAAGATATAAATATGCTCAAGCTAATGTATAAGAAAGCTCCTAAAATACCTTACAATGTAGTAAATTTTGGAATTCATAGAATCCCTACAGTGTGGAAACAGGCCAATTGGCCCAAGAAGTCCACATAGCCCCTCAGAAGAGCATCCTACCCAGACCTGCCCCCTTACCCTTTCCCTGTAACTCTGCATTTCCCATGGCTAATTCACCTAACTTACACACCCCTAGACACTACAGGCAATTTAGCAGGCCAGTCTACCTAACTTGCACATCTTTAGACTGCAGGGGGAAGCCAGAGCACCCAGTGAAAACCCACGCAGACACGGGGAGAATGTGCAAATTCCACACAGTCGCCCGAGGGTGGAATCAAACCCAGGTCCCTGGCACTGTGAGGCAGCAGTGCTAACCACTGAGCCACCATGCCGCCCAACATTGTTGTTTCCTGTCTTACGAGTATTTTATTCCTCAATGTGTTGATTGCTAACGATATTTCCTTCTACCCGAGTGCCAGAGTACTATTTGCGGTACAGCATGTGAATCCTATACAACTAAAATGGGTTTATTATTCACGTTGATTTCAAATACTTGGGATTTTTTTCAAGCTGGAACTTTGATCCTAAAGGGCTCTTTGTTCCAGGACTAAATGCCAGTTTTGGGGGGAGTGGGTCTTTGGAGAACACCGTGACCAGTCAGTTTCTTGGCTATGCTGTCTGAATTATATAGAGTACTGTTGCCATTTTTAATTTCTCTGCTGACCTGAGATCCAGAAACCTCTAGTCTCTTGGCAACTGTGTAATACAATGCAAAGGATTAGTTGACTTTCTTATTTGATGAGAAGTTGTTCAATCAAAGTCCTGGTCAGTAGCCTGTTTACTTTAGCTATACATATTGTCATCAACTAAAAATCATCCAATTGGCCTTTTACATTGCTAAGTTAAGGGTTGGGGACAACTACTGCTGACCCACTACCACAAGTGATCTCATTCCATTTACCACTTGCATCCTGTCTTTCTCGACCACTGGGGATTTGCAGTTGGAGCAGGGTGAATCTGTTACTTTGCTGTTGCAGTTCAGACCATTTGTTTTGCAATTACATATCAGAGTTATACATCATATAATAGGAAATTTATAGACAACAATATATATTCAAACAGAATCAATTATTATTCCTGTTATGACGTTACCGTGCATCAGAAATTGCAGAGTTGCTCACAGTGCACTTCTGAGTTCTTTTGTAAATGGCAAACATTGTAAAGACTAAAATGGTCCTGTGAATTATTCACGAGTAGCAACAGAGATACCATTATGATTATCCACAATATTGGGTTGGTGCTCATTAATTTAAAAATATGGCCAAATGGCTGCTACATAATTTCAACCAGCAATAGAATTCAGATTAGAAAACTATCCGACATGTACAGTTATGGATCAGACAATGATGATCTGTCATGTACACCAGTGCACTGCTTGTATTGGTAAAGGTGCTTTAATTCCTCTCTCTCTATCTATGTGCAGTCCCAGAATCCACAGCTGGGCGGGGGAGGAATCTGCCCTACATAGTGGAACTTGTTGGTCTTGGAGTTTTGGGTGGGCAGCTCCAAGGGTGTTTTTGGTTAGAGGGACTAGACATCCTCTGCCTGTCGTGCCAGATGCAGGCTCACTCTCCTCAACTTGAACTCCTGCAGGGTTGCAGATTGCAGGCAGGGTGGAGGCCCAAGCACCTCTGGCATGTGCCAAGAGGAAACCACATGCAGAGGGTGGGGTATATGTTTTTCTCCTTGCTAGGAGCAGCATGGGCCTGATAGCTTTATTGAACTTACCCAATGTGTCAGTTTCCGGAGTATCTTCAACTGTCTGCCTACTGCTTCTTACCTGTTTGTATATTTGAATGAAGTTATTAATTGCCAACAATGTGGGGGCAGCTTCTGCAAAGGCTCTGAGCAGGTTTCTGGACACCAACAGTTCAATGCCAGCAACCTGAGGCATTCCTTCCTCTTCACCCACAGAGATGTGGCTGTGGTGTACTCATCAGAATGTGCTCCTGACTGTACTCTAGCTACAGTCTCCGCCCAGGCGGAAGTATCTGAGCTGGTAGAGGGTGCAGCAGATGGCTTTGATCCGAGAGATTTGATCTCTTCATGGCAGCGACTGTGCAGTGCCAGTGATGCCTGCAGGAGATGAGGGAAAATGAGTTGAGAAATAGAGGTAAAGGTTTATGCATGTTAAGGATACATTCCACAGTCGTGGTAATAGGAAAGCAGTTCAGCACTTCGCAATCAATCATACTTGGGTGGCAGGGCATGGAGGTCTCTGCATCATGACCTGAGTGGCTGTGATTCTCTGCCACGAGAAAATGGAATTTCTCTTTGTCTGAGGAGGTGAATTTCAGACCCTCTATCGCTCATCCCTATTGTGGACAGTTTTCTAAGGGAGGACTGAGTGAGATGAAAATGGCTGGCAAAGCTGTTTAAACTATTGTAGGTGGATGAAAGATGTGTCCCAAACGAGTGCATGGGGAACACAGAGATTAGTAATTTGGAGGATTTGGGTGGTTGAAAAGGAGTAAAGGAAGATGCTGCACTCAATAGTGAGATTGTATAACATGAGCCTTGGTGGAAGGTGACAGAATGACAGTAAGTGTGAAGTAGCAGAGAGAAGGTGGTGCACTGACCTTGCAGAACACAGAATGACCTTCTTCCTACATTGCTGGGCATTCCTTCAGACCTGGGTGGCAACTCTGACCATGCTGGCAGGGCCTGTTGCCTTGATGTTTTCTGGCAGTCCTGAGGAAAGAGAAAAACCATCTGCACTACCATATCCACCAAGACGTCTGCTGTCAGCAAATCAAGGGGAGAGCGTGCCTCTGTTAGCTATCCAAGATGATTCTTCTAATTGTAATTCTTAGCTGGCAGTGATTGACCTGGTGACCTAAGCTGGCAGTGTTGGAAATCCCAGA